AAAAAAAAAAAAAAAAAAAGTTGCACAGGCTGTCCTTCAGTAACAACTATAGCTCTGGTTGAATTGTCACTTACAATGGATGGTTTACGAACTTGCAGTTCAACATTTGCAGATACATAATTATTCAAAGAAATCAAAATTTTATATTGATAAAATCCAGCATCAGTTTCTTGAATATCTTTTATCTGAAGTATATATTATATTACTATTTGAATTACACGTTAAACAATAAAAGTACGATATGTATTGCACATAATACTATATTACCTGTAATCTAAAGGTAGATAAGGTATCATCATATTTGAGTGTAAATCTAGTATCTCTTATAATTAAAGTACTACCATGTGAAAGTGGTAATTGATCATTAAGAGCATTTTTATTAATTTTTGTCCATATAACTGGAAAATCAGATCCATTTAGCACTGAGCAATGGGAACTCTACAGTTTCACCAGTATCTTTAATTTGCTCTTGTGAAATGTAAAATATTGTTGGCATACGCTGACTCTTAACTGAAAAATATGATAATACTGTTTCTATTTAAAGATGTTAGTTTAATTATATACAAACACACTGCAATATTCTAGATTCTAAAGAATCTAGATTCTTTGTAGTTGGCAGGATGGTCCCCTTGACAGTGGATGCATTTCGCTGGGGTTTCCGGTGGTTTGACGCACTGGTCAGTGGAGTGAGTGCCTGCGCATTTAACGCAGCGGAAAGTATGGTTGCAGTATTTCTGCGTATGACCGTACCTTTAGCACCTTTTGCATTGCACTATTTCTTTTTTCACAAGCGGAGGTTCGATCTTTACTATCGCGTTCATTAGGCGACTGATGTTATAAATTTCTTTATTGTTCGGCTTTTGTTTTATGTCTAGGAAGAATAAGGATAACGGGTCTTTCGAGACTCTATGCCTTATATTACTTACGTTGATGACTTCGTGGCCGAGTTTTGAGAGTTCGTTTTTGAGTTCGTCTATGTCTGCTGAGTGGTGTATGTTTCGTAGGACGACCCGGAAAGGCCTTTCCTGTTTGAGTTGGTATGTGTGGAAATTGGCGTTCAGGGTCTTGAGTGTCTTGGTGAGTTTTCTGTACGCTTCTGGGTTCGTCGGCAGTATTTTTACTTTGTTGTTATTTATCTTGAGGTTATATTCCTCCTTGCAGATATCCCTCTCTAGGGACTTGATCATTGTCTGTATGTCAATGACGTCGTCCACAAATATTGGTGGGGGAGGG